ATACTGCCATTTCATCATGTGTAGGGATTAATATTGGCTAAAAAAGTATAGTTAAATTAAATATTTGTGCACAGCCTATGCATCAAATATTTGCAATAAAATATTGTATCCTTCTCAAAACTAGTTTATCAGATTAAGAATGAGTTACCAGGTACAAGTATGGCTCTCACGATGATAGTTTCCAGGTTTGAAAAAAGTCATTGCCTGTTAAAATCCCTAGTTCCCTTACCTTGACAGCCCAACCTCATCAAAAGATTGGCAACAGGAGTGATTAGAAAATTAACAATACAGACAAGAGAGCCTATTCCCACAAACACCCTCCGTGATCCTGTTCACCTACAATGAACATGATGTTTCAAACATGGTGTATGTTTCCCTTACTAATTATTTTGTAATGGTGTTTACAAATTGTGGAAAACGGTTGGGTTGAAATATAATACAACGACTTGCCAGTAGGTAGTCAAATGAAAACTTTTTACATATCAATAAAAGTTATCGTTGTGTTTCATGTTAAAATGTTGCAAACATGAGAAAATACCATCAAAAACTTTTCAACCCATTTAATATAGCCAATAAAAATATCAACTCAACGTTAAAACTAAAGAGAAAACTTGATTAATATTTGGAATTAATTTCTGTGATGTAAAAGTGAAATCCAGGCATTATCTCAAGTTTTCCACAAATGTCTTCGTAGACGAATCCTAAGTCTCTCTTCGTCATCAAGTTTTAATCCTGACATTTTAGGTCTAGCTTTTCTTTTAAAGCAAACTTTTGCAGCGCAAAAAAGATGTTAGACAAATTTCGTACTTCTTTAGCTAGAGTTGTTAAGATCATGGGAAGTTGGCTTAAGGAAACCTACATTATAAATAGTTACAGCAGAGGTTACCGAATCAAATAACAGAAAAAATCTCAAAAAGGACGCCTTGTATTTCCAGCCAGAGGACAATCATGAAACAATGATAGCCAAAACAGGAAAAGTTTTAAGAAATTACAGGCTCAAACACGAGTTGAAAACGACTTTTCTTTTAAATTTCTACGCAAAACAGAGGAGGTTGAAACGTTAGCGAAAAAATGATGGGGCAAGCAGTCATACCTGGCAACTTCAAGAGAAGATATAAGAGAAGCCCATACGATTCTGGCGTCTTGATTTACTAATTCACTGTTATCACGGGTATATATACTCTTCAATCGACTGTGGATGTCTAAACTCGAAGTAGATTACTGCCGTTTCTTTCAATTTTGGCTCATTTTCCTAGACTAAAATTATCAGTCATGCTCAAAAGAATATAATTTCAACTGATGCGGACATCGCACACTTCACTGAAGAAGAAAAGACTCTCTATCTCCGAAAATTTGCTCAAAACATCAGGAACTACAACGAAGGTCCTCAGCTGCACGTTTTATCGCCAATTCTTCGTTTCCCTCCCCACCCGCCGGACTGGTCTCTTAGTCCCCTTGAAGAAACTCTTCCACAGCCAGTGTTGAAGAGTTTTTTTAAAGTTTTTATTGTAATGAGGGGCTAGCAAATAACTAAGAGCTCCGCTTTTAGGCTTTGCTAAATCTATATATCATTTCTGTGAGTGCACGTCATTTTAACCCTTAGCTGATTCTGAAAATCAACAATAGAATACTAATGGTGCTTAAACTTGCGATGACTAACAAAAAAGTACACCAATTCAACTATTTTTTTCCAAAGCCCGGATCGAATGTTGAACTTTGCATCTGTCTAATTCAATGCCAATTTGAGTGGACCCTGTTGATTAAGTTCCATCGCTTGTCTAACACGTCGAACTTTCAGCAGCTAGCTCACCCATAGAAAGAGGGGACGTTTTTCCCTTTTGACATCTTGTCATTCGGCATATATAAAACGATAGAAACTAAGCTATTGTGCTCCTGTTATCCTAAATATGGCTGCCAAAGCTGTTGTGCAGAAAACCAAGCGCAAGCAACTTGACCACTGCATGAATTAATGTCTCACTTGTGCTATTTGCTTTCTGATTACTTTCCGCTGTATGGAATCTAAAAGGCTTCAGGAATCAAAGCTGTAAGAGATCCTTCTCTAATTTTAAACTACGAGTTTAATGCGGACATCTTCAGAGTCTGGTTTGTTTTGTTTTTAATTAACAGTGCTAAATAACCCCCACCTGACATTTCTTCTCGGTTTGCGGTTTTGCTAAATTGCACAGGATGCTTCAAAATCGATGTAAATGTTTCGCAAATGAAAATTCAAGATATAATAAAGGTGGTACTTACCTGGCGGATAACTTTTAGAAAAAGCTTTCCACATTTTGCCGGATTCAGTTGCACGCATCACACAATCCATCAAGCACACAATACCGTTTTAGGTTGCTGTCAATAGCTGTGTACTCTTATGCGAATGTGTCATTCCGGTTAATTTTTTTTCGATTATTTGGCATTGTATGGGAAGTGAAAAATATTGAGAAACTAAAAATAATAATGATAATGATAATACAAAGATTCCTAACTCTTCCTTTAGCGATAAACAAATAGTTTAGAAAGCCCGTGTGTAGAGTTTGGCATGTTTCATTTTTAGAGTTCTGTAGGTTAAAAAAAATCAAAATGAATTATTCACAGATAGAAAGTCAAGTTCGACGGTTTCATAGCTACCGCAGAACAACTGAAACAGGAATAATAAACGTCGTACTTACCCAGCACACAAGATATTAAAAGGGTTTTGAAAATTTTGACCGATTCATTTCCATTTATCATCCACTTCATCATGCCCAAGATATGCACACGTTGCTGTTGAAAGCGATTGTTACACTTGTATTTGTTTCACCCTGCTTGAGAGTTGCGGATTCTTAGTTTAATTAAAGCCTGGGTCAAAAATGATTTTCGCCTCCAGTGCCCCCCCCAGCAAGGTTCGCGGAATTCGCGTGGACTGCGCGAGTAACCATAGTTACTTGGAATCAAGATCGCGTAGTTCGTGAACGGCATCCGCCATTTTGAAGTGTCGGCTTTGCATTGGTTTTTCCCATCTTCGCTGGTGAATCCGACAATTTAGAGGAAGAAATCAAAATATGGTAATAAAATTTTCCTTGCTATCTTCATTTCCTCAAAAAATGGCTTGATATCGCCACCTTAAAGCCAAAGAGAACCCTTTTGAACCTACGAAGACACCGCTCTCAACATGTTCATTGACTTCACTGCGAAAACAATGCAACATGAATTTATAATATAGCGCTCATTTCTAGAGCTCAATAGCGTTTTACAATGTTTGTAACTTATGCATAGAAAAAAGTACCATGTTTTGTAACAAATGCATAGAAAAAAGTTTTATTGTGGATATATCATTCAATTTTGAAAATAAATTTAGCTTGATAAATCCTCTATCATATCATGATATGTATACTTATGGTGTCTATCAAAATTCAGGCTTTTGAATGCTTTGGAACAATTTCTCCAAGAAGCGGATGAATTTACTTAACTCGCTCATATGTTAATGAACGCGCATTATTATTATTTTCATAGCACGGCAAACTCCGAGTGAAAGGATTTCTTGTCGGTTTTCTTAGATTATGAGTTGAATGTGAATTTACATAAAGTTAATCGTTAATAAATCAGAGTACCACCGGAGGCTAACGGCCGATAGTGTTAGTGTTCAGCCTACAAAATAAATCTCCCCTTCAAAAGCGTAAGGCAGACCATCACTTTTGTGCCCAATGATTCAATTCCAACATTTTAGAAGGAGCAGTGGGGTCTAAAGTTCTGAGTATGCGATGTTCTTGGGTCAGTGATGTTTCTTCGTGGGCGAGACATTCTACTTTCCGCGCTCATAGAATAATTGATTATTCTTCGGGAATATTCTCTAGTCTAAGCTGCGAAATGTTAAGTCAATCGAAGCTTAAAGCGAGTTTACCTATCGCATTTGAGCGGTGTGGAGAGAAAAGCACTTGCGCATTCCAGAGTGTTCTTCTGTGTACCTTCTTCCACCTAAATCGTATGCTTCGTTATCAATGTTGACTTATAAATAGGTATGACATAGTTTAGACTGTTGTAAACCAAGTTGGGCATATTTACATTATCGACTCCTTCTCTCAATTGTTGAAATTCCTTTTCAATGCTTGCCTCTCAGCTGTAGTGATAATTGAAAACAAGGCCAATGGAAATATTCCTCATTTCTATAGCTAAGCATTTTTCCTATAAATTGTGTACTCTGTGTAGATGTTCTTTAATCGCTGTTAAACGAAGTTTGCGCAAGAGATTATAATCTCGGTTATAATAAAGTTCGAATATAACGCGCGCTTTAATTGCGTAAAAAAAATTAAAAATGGGCAAATGTAACTGATCCAAAAAGGATCCAATCACTAGGTTTTTTTCTGGTTTTTTCAAATTAGTTGTTTATTTATTCAAACATTTACGTATTCATCTATTTATTCATTAAGCAACAACTTTGAATGTCCGCCTTAGCTACCACTACTATTAGTATCATTTGTTACGTTACAATTAAACCAACAGAAAGAACAATAGTAAACAACTTGTAATATTCTTATCAAGAAGCGACAGTTAAAGGAAGTACAGTACTTATCCTAAATAAGCTTTATTAAGCGCATTAAAAACCATATCTTAGCTCAACCACTGACAAAATCTCACAGTTGTCTCCAAAGTTCCTCGAAATTATATCAACAATCTTCAAAGTAGTTCTCCCTGTAGTCTTATTCGGAGGGCAGCCCTCATCAGACTGAGCCATAAGAAATTAAAATTTTTAGATTGGTTTATTTCAATGAATTTTGCTTGCAAATATACGATCGCTCAGAAAATAAACTTATAACTTACAATCATGAAGAAGATAGGTGACATTTACAATTGCATGAGTGCTTAAACAATAATAAACAGAATGGCCTTAACCTGCAGATCGTACCTCAGACCGATCGCAACCGACTAATCGCTGTTAACTAAGTGATTGCACTAAGTAATTGACTGTTATTTCTAGTTGGCTAGACCCAGTTACTTGAGTTAAGTGCGATTTGGATTCAAATTCAGTACAATCTCACTTGTTTGACCTGTGAGCACTTCCTTGTGGCGTTGTCCTTTATTGAAGATGGAAAAACGATGTTCATCTTTCTTTTGAATCTTTCTTTGATCTGCAGATAGATGAGCAACATAAATATTGGTTCTGAGCACTCACACATATATTGAAAGACTACAATTTAATGATATTCAGTTAGTGTAGAAACAGCTTCATTTTTTTTCTTACCTGATTGTTTCGCATGCAGTGTAAAGCGAAAATCAGGAAACCCTGCAGGATAAGCATGATTTCAGATCATTCCTTTTTAACATATTTAAAAAAAATTAGGGAAATATCTATTTGGATGCAAATGAAGATAAATTTAGGAAGAATTGCAGAAATAAAGAAGAAATCTGTTTTATTCAGCATAGTTAACAGCTTTTTGTTTTCATAATTCCAGTAAATATTATGTAACCATTGTAATGGTGTCTCGCTTGCTTGACAAATCCAATCAATCAATCAAGATTGGATGATTTTTGAGAGTAACCATTGAACACTCACCTGAGTAGAGTTGAGTATGGTGAAGATGTAGGCAAAAGCTTTATGCACAGGCAAAAGGAGACCAAATAACCACGTGATACCCAGCAGGGGATTTATCACCACGCATGCTTTGATGCCAAGTCTAGGAGTTAAAAACAAAGAAAGAAAAGACATTCTTTTATTTTAATTTGACAAATAATTTTCATTGTTAGATATCGGAATGCCTTCCTGATTAAGGAATGGGGAAGTTAGGCGATTATCGCCTCACAGGAGCACATGGCAATCTTGTCCACTATTTTGTTTTAGTTTTATGTTGCAGGTCTTACCGTACTTGCTGAAAATTGTTGTCTTCCGCTGTTGGCTGCACCAATTTGGTCATTTCCTTTATAACGCTTACAAGTATCAAGATGTTGAGCTAAAAATACGATAGGAATAAATTGATTGTTTAGATATGATTGTCGAAAAAGCAAGAAAGGATCCTTGCCAAAGACGTCATTAGTTTGGTAAGGAGAGTGGAATGAAGAGTCATTTACAGGGAATAGAACTCCCAGCCAGGGGACCTCAATTATGAGCTTCAATCCTCTGACAGTGGGCTAAAGAAATTGCGAACAAAAGTGTCTAAACTGAATGAACCGTACGTGAAGCCTCATGTTAAATTACATAAATTCAATATCTCCTACTCTCCCTGCTATTTCATCTTTGTTAAAGTCTTTTTTAATTAAATTCTTTTAATCAGTGATTTTTGCGCAAAACATCATCTTGGTACGTATATCAATGTGAAACAGTGTGAGAACGTTAATATGGAGGCAGTGAGGATTTTTTTTTACGCAATAAAGTAAAAGTTGGAGAATTTATGAAGCTATTTTATGCCTGTGAAGACATTGTCTTAAAGGTTTTTCTCGCTATTGAAGGCCATCAGTAGGTTAAAATTGACAACCATCCCAGTAAACAGCAGCTCCTTCTAAAGTTTTTCGTGAGTAAATAGCAAAAGATAAATGGTAAGTATTGTGTGGGGTCATATCATAAATACTTATCCCTTTAACTCCCAAGATCTGATTAGTGATTCTCCCCTCTAGCTGCTACAAATATTTTTAAAAATAGTTATGAGAATTTGGTAATAGATCAAGGCAACAACTTTTACCTGATAAGTTTACATATTCTCATTCGCTGTTTCCTGTATAATGTAAGGCTATTACAGAGAGAAGTTTCATGTTGATCACTCCTGGGAGTTAAAGGTTTAATTCGCTTTTTAAAGAGCAGAGGAAAACGTCTCTTGGCTGAAATTAGTCCAAGTATACCAATCATAATCACCAACACGAATCATAAACTTACAACTTCAATGAAAGTCACAAAGGCGACGAATATCCAGGTCAGGTTGTTAGTCGAGGAAAGCCAGCAACTAAACTCGAAGAAATGAAAGGCAGGAAAGAAAGACAAATTTTTAACAAATGAAATGATACTGATTTAAAACTATACACAAAAACACAAAAGAAAGAATGTAATAATGAATGTAAAGAAGGAACCGTTGAATTTTTCCTCACTATTTATCACTCGTATAGCTTTGTAATCCTTCTTTCCCAGCAGCGATGCCAAGTGAAATGGCCACCATGATCACTGGAAGACCTACCCATAGAGAAAGAAAGGAAATACAAACACTGCAATGGATGACAACACCGGTTTTGGCGATCCGAAAGCACTGATGCATGGTTATAGCTACCTGTGCATGTTGTAAAATAATAAACTTACCCCATGAGAGGACGTGATACATGTGCATCTTGGCGTTGATATTATAAACTTTCACAACGAAGAGGTAGAGATAAATTGCTTCGATCAGCATCCAACAGAAAGCGGCCATCAAGAAATACTGCATCAGAGCTGCTATTGTAACACAAGCAGCCTGTGAAGAGAAAGATTTTTTCGTATTCTTATCGCGCTCCTTTAGATAAGATATTTTTGGTGCAAAGAGTAGATTCATTCCATGGATATGAAAGAGAGGCCACTAACTTTGTTTTCTGTTGCGTTTATTCCCGCGAGGAAGATGATCTGTCCAGCTCCAAGGGACATAGAAACACTCAGTCGAATTTGAGAGAGAGGTTGACGAACATCTCTGATGAAATAATAGGTAAGTACAGCAAGAACCACAAAATTTAATCAAAAGATACAGCAAAATGTGGCTTAAGATATCAACTAAATCTTGACAGCAAAGGAAAAAAAAAGACAGTGAAGAGCTCTAGAAAGGACCAAAAAAGGAAAGCATTTCGAGGAAAATGGCTAAACCCTAAACAATTCATGAACCGTGAAACCATGAGCATTTCAAGCGCTCTTAATGGGGCATGAAATCTACTTAGAATTTGTGAGTTATTCGGCCGACATGTATTTTCTTATTGGCATGGAGATTTGCATTGAGATCTCTTTTCTCTCTAGCCTAGTTGAGGGGAGATGAGAATCTACGTCATCAATATTCAGGTACATTACATACGTGAGGCAATAATAAAGTATTAATGTTAAAAGTATCCCGACGATGGAAAGGCTCAGTCCCACGTAGGTGATAACTTTCAGGACTGTTTCGTCCTCCTTGGTGAGCTATGTCAAAAAAGAAAAAAAATTAAAGGAGAACATTGATGTAGTTAATTGAGCCCATAAAATGATAAAGTAAGGCAAAAATTATTTGATTACCTTTAAGCTACCGTCGTAGTCCATTAAGACGGCAAAATGCGTCAAATGATTGCAGCTGCAAACTGTTTCTTCTGAGTTGCTTTGTGATTTAACTACATGGCATCCTTCCTCTGAAAATCCCTCAGACCTGTAAATTTAAATTAACAAAGCACGCAAAATAATTCATCGTTTGGGGAAGAGGTGATGTTTGACAATTTGCGCTAGGTTTTTCCTCCATTGTAGTTTTAGCAGCGAGAACATTTGAGTCAGACTTTCTCTCTCTAAAAACGACAACGTGTTGGCCTCCGGGAAACATCTGACTATGACCTTTCATTCATACTCTGCCATACTTAATTTAATTTTAGAACGAAGAAATACTATACAGGTATTTTTTACCTTTTGCTGAGGCCAGTCCAAAACATACAGCGCTTCTCTGCTGTCAAAACCTGAAAATAGATTTTATCTAGTCAGAATGAATCATAATAGCGCGTAGCAACTAATTTTAATGTTACCTTTAGGTTTTTGAACTTAAGGATGACATTTTCTGGCAATTTATTAGGCTTGGGGTCTATAGTTATGGCCATTATCCTGGAGTTGATATACCTATGAAGAAATTATATTTGAAAATGAACCAAAAATCGAGGAATCAACAAACATATACTCTTGCTAGATTCAAGCGAGTTTTTTATGAAGATGGAATTTTCTGAGACAGACAGGAAGACTTCGAACCCTATATGAGGTTTTTGAAAGTTTCTAAACTCAGTTTGGTTGAACTTTAATCTTATGTTTCCATATTATGTGTTTTGGGGGGTAAGCGACATAGAAGGAGATGAAAATATCATGACCTTTTGTTGACTGTTTCATTCCTGATGGGTTGATCCGTCAGAAGTCGGTCATGCAGATCCTTGTACACAAAAGCCACTACCAATGATCCTTAAAACCCCCCAAGAATTAACAAAAAGTAAGTTAGAAAAAACAAAAACAGAAATTTCAAATTTTTATCAGGCCCTGAGGTATGTGACTTTAGAAGGAAGGCAAAGAATTCAAGAAAATAGACTATGTAAACTAATGAAGCGCATTTTTATGGGGCTTTATTTCAATACAGGAATTCAGATTGGAGAAACTAAGGTAATTAAAAGTTGTAAAGTTAACACGCTGGTTAATACGAACCATTTTCCTCAAAATTTGAAGAAGCGATATCGATTGTCGCTTGCCATCGTTGTTCATCAAAGTGGAAGAAACTCCCATTCTGGCGATAGGCTTTTTGAATGGCCAAAACTGTCAGAAAAACAATTCAATGACAAATAAAAGCACTCACGGTGAAATTAACAATAGCACGTCTACAAAACATGAGTTTTGCGAAGTACACAAAATGTTTTATAATCTTAGTGAGTGGACGTGTACCGTTTGTACTTTATTTGCCCTTCAGCGAATATTCGACGGATTCAATCATTTTAAAAATGATTTTTTATGTAAAACTGATTAAAAAGTATGTAGTACTGCACGGACTAAAATTTTGAAACTTCATTTCGTTCCTCGAAGCGTTTTGTCGGAGAACAATAGAGTTCATTAGGGAGTTTGTATGAGTACGGTTAAAAATCTTGCATATATATGCATCGCAGACGATGTGCTTATTTTGAGCTCAGTGCATAGTATGAAGTAAGGGGACATTATTTGTAAGATTTGACAATTTCAGTAAGTAAAGTGTTACTCGCCAATCTATAAACAGAGCAAGACGAAGGGTTTCAGAATTTTGAAGGATTCCTATTCTCTCTTGTTGATTTCAAACCACCTTTTATTTCCTTCTCCACCGCAAAAAGTCAAAGTTAAAAAAACGAGCAGATGAACCAATGACATCCAACAATAAAGTTTCTAATAATTTTGGTCTATAACTGAGATTTATCTTGAAAACTATGTTACTCAGTCGGTCAGTCAGCAAATCAGTAAGTGACAGAGCAATAGATTTTGAAACTAAACAGGATTGAAGGCCGCCACCTCACCCATTTTTGGGAAAACGATCCTTTCTGAAGGCCTCATTCCACTCAGGTGTTGCTTGCCATAATTAATAGCAAATTTCTCGACGGCCTCTGCCACCTCAAAGATGGATTTTCTTAGTGTCTTAACCTCTTCCATGCTGACCTTGCCTTTTGCGACTTTCTTGAGATTTATGGTGAAATCTTCAAACACACCTACAGCCTCCTATAATTACGTAAATATTCCCAGGTCATTAACTAGCCAGTCTCATATACACAATTTAACACAAAGCAGGAGGCCCCAGATGGTGTCCAGGGTATTCCCCAGCAAAATAACTCTTTTAGGGTCCTGGGTTACTTTTTAAGCCTCACCATTTTCACCCTGTATGGCTTGAATGGTGGTTTATCTTAAATTTCAGATATTTACTTTATTATGGTGTAAATAGATATATCAGGGTTAAAAGCCTTCAAGTTATGAAAATTGCATACCTGTATGGAAATCTTTCTGGTAACATTTATTCCGGATAATTTTGACACATAGTAATTTGCCTGGAATAATAATAAAAAAAAAACAATTGTCTGTCACATTAATGGACCGAGAAGATCTCGAAAAGTGACATGCAAAGAAACGCTAAAGGACTATTCAGAACACAAACCAAATGCTCAACTGTCCTAAACAACAATGACGATGGTGCTGTTAGCAATGGCAATGGCGATGGCGATGGCGATGGCGATGGCGATGGCGATGGCGATGGCGATGGCGATGGCGATGGCGATGGCGATGGCGATGGCGATGGCGATGGCGATGGCGATGGCGATGCCGATGGCGATGGCGATGGCGATGGCGATGGCGATGGCGATGGCGATGGCGATGGCGATGGCGATGGCGATGGCGATGGCGATGGCGATGGCGATGGCGATGGCGATGGCGATGGCGATGGCGATGGCGATGGCGATGCTGATCCTAATGCCGATGATAATAGAGATGACGATGGCGATGACAATAGAGATAGCGATGGTGATGCTGATGCCGATGCTAATGATGATGCTTAAGATGGATGAGATTGTAAATCTTCGATTAGAATGAGATATTAATTGAGCTCTTTTGCCGTTTTACGGCTTACCTCTTAACACGTGTTTGTATATTTTTCAAAATAATAGGGTAGCGAATGACAGGAAACACAGAGGGCGTAAAGGTTCAAAACTTCAAGCTTGTTATCATCGCTCAATTTACAAAACTTGGATGAAACGGATATTTTATAATAAGTAGACGCTAGCGAGGATCCTTTTGGTTTTCTTCAACACAGGTTTTATAAATGCGTATAAACACCATACGTGATGCACCACTGTTACGAAGTGCTTCACCCGAAGTGTGCTATGCCAATGGACACTATTGGAATACACTACAAAATACCTCGAACATCCCCATTGTTAACACTGCTATGAAAGGAAAAGACTAACAAGCAATGGTTTTCGTTAATTGATACTGAAGATAGGTAAGTGGTTTACTTCTTAGCCATTGGCTTTATGGAGATACAATTACATGCAAGAAAAACTTTTAACATAAAGCTGGAAAAGTGCGAGAAATGAGATGAAACATTACAAATGTCAAACTTTATAAACGACCTACAAGAAAAAACGCAATTAACGTCATAGCGGCTCACGTGCTTACACACCGATCGGAAATATTTACATTCTCTGTCACTGTCCCTACAGTTTAGTTCCGCCGAATGTAAGAACATTTCCATCAACCTTCAAAGTCCGATCAGAACGTTCTACACAATTGCATTACATTTTCATTTTACATTACATTGCTAACATTTTCCAAAGCAACATGAGCAGTCGTGCCTGAGTTTTTCCAAGCTCCTGTAGTAATCTCTATAACATATTCATAGGTGCTGCTTGAAGATGATGGAAGTTGGATCGGTAATTCCCTCTAGGAAATCATGATAAGGAATGAATAACTAACACGGCTAGCTGATTTTTTTTTTAATTCGCTTTTTTGTCCAAGTCCCAACAAAAAAAAAAACAAATTTGGTCAACCCTAAAAAACAGTTTAATTAAATTGACTGTCCCTTCATTTTTAAAGTTCAAGATTTTTAAAATATATTCAACGCGTTTTAAAGTTAAAAATCTCAACTCAACAAACAATGAAAACGAATAATGCTGTCAACATTCAACCTTTTTTTTTCCTTAACCCTATAACTCCCACAGGTGATAAACATGTATATTCTCCCAAAAATATCCGTACATTATTCAGGTAACAGGTCATGAGAATATTCAAACCTGTAAGGTAGAACTTGTTATCTTGATCTATCAGCAAATTGTCGTAACTAATTTGCAAAAAAAATGTATAGCAGTCGGAGGGAAGAATTAACAATCAGATCATGGGAGTGAAAGGGTTATACTGGAGAGCATGCTCCGTTAAAGCAACGTTCATGAGTAAAATCTGGTTCGACACTTACATATTTTGCATCTTCCTTGTCGAATTTCCTTACGATAACGAGTACAGTCATATAACACGATAAAACCACCGCAATAGCCACAATTACTGCAATATTTCCGGTTTCTGATAACTGCTGGAACTCGACTAAAACCTTGTCGAAGTCAATAGGATTCGGTTCAACTAAAAGACTTGCACCAAATGATGTCAAGTGGCTACAGCTACAGTTTAAAAATCCATCGAATTCTGCTAAAACCTGAAATTAACAAATGTAAGGAATGTTAAAATTTTGGCTGTCATCATTAACTTAATCAAACTGTATATTTTCTGTCTTAAGGCGTTGCTATGTCCTGGTTGGTTATCAAATTGATTCGACTTTTGTCTGAAAATGTTCTCTGATCAAATATTAGCCTGAATTCAAAGATAAGCTGAAGGAGTGAAGATTATTACAATACCACAGCACTTTTGCAAACAATACTCAGGAAAGCTCAAATTATCTCAACTGTATTGAATACAATTCCAAATTATACAAAAAAGGATTGTGCTTAAAATCGTTATGTAATTTCTCACTTACTCGACAACCAGATGATATCCACTTGTCAATTTTTTCTGACCAGTAAACACAACTACCTAAGGCCACCTTTAGAGTGTAGTTCTGGTCTCTTGTGGAATCATAAACTGGCATCACAAAGATATTTTCACTCTGGGGGTGGGTGGTGCATCTTTGACTTCGACACAGGAGCGCTTCCTTCGCCTTCCGCCAAAACAAGATCTTTTCCCCCTTTTGTGAGATAAGTTCACTGTGGCATTGTAATGTTTTAAGCCAAGAAAGTATTTCCCAGGACGCTCAGCCAGAAATTGTATCGGTTCATGTGGATTCAAGGAGCAGACCGTTTGCCCTTCACTTTTGTCATGAGCGCTTAGCACCCAAACACACTTTTCGCCATGAGAGATAGTGGCATTAAGGTCGTAGTCTTGAGTTGTCGGCCGCTGACCAAAACGCATATAGACAAACATATGTACGGTTGGATCTTGAGGTTTGATTTCCAGCATCAGCCATGTGTTTTCAAATCTAACTTCTATCACATGAAAAGTAAATTGTCATCCCTTGTGAAATAGTTTTTTATTTTTGTAAAGTTTTCATCAGGTTTCAAAGGTGTAACGATGACGATGTCTTCAGCTCTCTTTTGTTGTTTTTCAGCTTCAGGGTTACAACATCAGAGGCAACTCGCTCCTTTGTGCCGTCCCAAGTGTAAGGATTAAAAGAGATTGACAGCATCTAAAAGAAGAATGATTAACAATTTTGCCTACTTGTTTGTTTTTGGAGACTGCTATAGTTGTACGTGTAAACAACGAATGTGCTGTCAGTATAAATCATAAGTTACCATAAGTTGAGGGCAAAATGGAAATAACAATATATTTGGAAATGTAAGAAAAATGAAATGACATTCGTATGGTCACTTATTATGGATTATTTTCATAGCCAGCTTTTTGAAACTCGAATGAAAAACGACGAAAATGGCTTATAAGAGATCTGATCCTGTTATTTACTCAATTTTAAAGTTTAGTGAAGGCTATCTTAAGAAAATCAAGATTGATTCGGTTTCTTTTGCTGTCCCAAGTACCAGAGTTGAACATGTCAAAATCAAAACAAGAAATAAGACTGCTGCAGGTAAGAAGCAACCTTTATGGTACCTAATGTGCTACTTTTACTTAACTGGGGTCTGTATCTGCCCCCCTAAAAAAAAAAAAAAAAAAAATTAATTGAAATGTGCCTGTGGGGCAGGAATACCTACCTGAACATCTACAAAACTTGTTTTGTTTACTCCAGAGAGCAACAACTGGCTCTTAGACGGTAAGATAAACCGGCCTTTTCCTGCTTTAATTTCCAGTCCTGAAAGTCTCTGGAGGCTAAATCTTCCGAGCGTCATGGATAGTTGTCCTGCTGTGAATGGTATCATTATTTCATCAGGTACTGTCAAGGCTAACAATGAGTCTGCAACTTTCTCTAGGGCTTTCATTGAAATCTTCACCAATAGTTTACCCTGTGCAAATTGCAAAAATAAACATAGAATATTTATTTTAAAAAATTATGAATTTTCGCAAGCGTGAAACAAACAACTAGGTCCAAAATCTGGATGACGGGAATAACGGTGAAGTTAACAGCAATCTGCAGTATACCATTCTTTAATAAAGTTAGTCTTATATTATGCTTGCATGTATAAATAAGTTTTGAGGAGTCTGTTTGGTGTGAACTTTTCGACACACCCTAAATGTACATTACAGTACCTGTTGTTGAAAACTTGACTTAGAGTCTTCGGATGCAGTCACTGCTGCTGCCTTCAACACGCTGTTAAGACATGAGGCCAAGTTTTCTGCTGATTGCGTTGTCAATGGTGTGTCTGCTACAAGTTGTTTCTGGGCGATAGACCATAGGAGTGACGTCATTGAACTAATAGAAAATAAGGAGATATTCTGTGGAGTGCAAATGGATATAAATTAAGAAAAAAATGCTTACTTTCCGACTTCTTTCCATTGGCTTTGTAGAAATAGTTTGTGGCGAATTAGCTAAATTAAGTTCAAACTTATAGATTGCTTCATTTGATAACGCAACAGTTGCTTATTTTTCATGCCTGTTTGTTTTCATTTCCTTTGTTATTGTTGTTGTTTCTTGAGCCTTTCTGGCTAAATAGTGTCATGGTATGAAAACTTGACGTAACAAGCAAGGCTATTCCAGTCCCAATCAATATGACATAATTAACTTACCAGAGACTGATGGGGCACTTTTTCCAAAACCTGAAGAGCAGAACCGATAGCTGAAGATTTGTGAAGTAGGTCGGAGACAGTTTTTGCTCCCAAGGGCGAAACTTTTTCAAGGATGTAGTTCATAACCTTGATCAACGATAAACATATCAGCTTAGTGTTCATTAAGCATTAAAGAATTAGGCAGATAGACTGTATCTCGCATGTCAGGCTCGTTTCAAAGATAATAGATCTAAATAGGAGACTCAAAGTATCAGGTTTCCCAATGTCAGTTAAATGCCATCAAAATGACATATTTATAAGCGAATGATTGATTTAAATGAATCAAAACACCGAAAATGTTTAAGCTGAAAAAAAGGAAAGTCTGGTGAGTTCAGCCCATGAAATAAATTTGCTAGCCTCATTTTCAAGACGCTGTAAATATTCATTTGAAATTTAATTTAAGGTTCCTGAGCGTTCTTCACTTATAGCAACGTAAGACAAAATTGTATGCTAACACGCTCAACCCGCGAGAATAATGGAATTTGAACATGTAACGTGGAAGCCACGACTCTCGCACAGCAAAAATATCAGATATTTAACAGACAAGCTTCAATCTTTCTCAAAAATATGTTCATATATTTAAAGTATTATATTCGTCTGTTCCTCGACAGTTGAGTTTACCATCATCATTATGATTATTATGATTATGATTATCATCATCATTTAAATACAAATGCTTTATTGCTTTTTATTTATTTATTATTAATTTTTTTTGCATGTTTGGCTCCTAATAAACTCTTTGTTTTTCGGATACGATCATAATGAGCTAGTTTTATTTCACTTTTTAAATAACAAGTTGGATTTTAGAAGTACCTTGTATCTCTCCTGCAAATTCATTGAGGTTTCTTGTGAAACTGATAGCATGACCGAGTTTGCTATTAGCGCCGCTTCTCTCAGGTTTCCGATTTCGATAGATTTCTGAAATAAACTGTCCTTTGCTAGTAGAAGGTTTGTGATAAAATCGGTGCTTACATTCTGATATGGCTTGATCTGCAAAAGTCAAAAGTGGGCGTCCATAACTAATCTATTATTAATAGGGACCAAAAGAAATTGAAATATCCTCACATCCTTTCATGCTAGATATTAAATTAATGGTTAGCGACTTACCTGAACTGCCGAAGAGACTGGGGAAGCAGAAATTCCAAAGTTGTCAGTCACTGTAGCGATAACTTTGACAACAAAATTATATGCATTGTTCCCAGGCGGTATCCAAGAGGTATTTATATTGTTGTTAACGCCACGATATAAAACATTGTACAGATCGTTCTTTAGCCTGTATTGAAACTGGTAGGACAGAGGGTTGTTTCCACTTTTCCAGTGGCTACAGCTCAGACTGAAATCAGTCTTCAGTGAGATGCCGCTTGGCGGAGTAATCGAGCAGTTCCCCCCTGTAGGGGGTATTGCTGTAGAAAATTCGTAAGCATTCATTCCCCTAAAACCGTCCGTAATTGTTACGAATAGTGCCAAGCGGTACTTATTTCCACCAGCAAGGGAACCCCCTTTGATAACAATGTCACTTGAATTCAGCGGTGTACTTGTGATAAGTCTTAGATTATGTTTCCTTTGCCAGGTAAAGGAGGTGTTTCGCTTGAACTGCTGGTAGAGCACCCACTTATAGGAAGATATTTTAGAGCACTGTAATCCGCGACATTGTGATTCGATACTAAGTTTTACCAAGGGACTCACTTTAGCTTGACAGTTAAAGAAACACCTAAAATGAAGCGAAAAATATTAGACGAACGCTCAGTGGAGAAGAGGTTTTGAACTTTCTTTGTGTGATGAGATCATGTAATTAAGAAGAACAACTACAGAAGTGGCTACAATTTAACATTGATATGAACATCTGCTAATGAAGTAGCTACAACAACAATAATAAACAAAACGACAATATCAACAACAACATCATTAATAACAACAACAAATTATATGAAACGACGGCAACAGAAACGACGAAAAATAACGAAACCAGAGACAAAACAGCTAGAATTGGAAGACAAAAGCATCAGTAGCGAAAAAAGAGAGAAATAGTATGAAGTCAAGAACAAATATAGGTATTAACAACGGCAACGAAAACATCAGTAAAAACAAACCAAACAAACAAAATAATAACAGAAAAAACGAAGTAGATCTCTAACCTTTGATATATTTCTGGGGGGTCCCCTTCTATCAGATGGATAACTTGATAAACAGTGGAAATGCGAATATCCTTGGTCACCACTAGTTTAACTATGTAGGTCTGATTAACAGACATAGCTTTGGTGTTTAAGGAAATTTGTTCGCCAGATGCTTTTCCATAATACTGAATGGCTGACTCGTGTACTGCCGTAATGAAATCTTTGTCCGCCTTCGCCTTCGCCTCCGCTTGTTTGCTGAAGGGAATTCCTGTGACTTTGCCATAATGCCAGGTGAATTTCATTCTTTGTTGGTCGGCATGTGCAACTTCCGGGTCATATGACAGTGAGGCATTTAATGTGATGTTTCTGTGGAGTCCTCTTGTTACTTCTGCGCCACCGGAAATGACCGCCACAAGGTCAATTTTTCTTTTGCGAGCTGATTTTTCGTCTAAATAAAGAGAATAAAAATAGAAATAAAATTTTAAAAAAATAAAAAAAAGAAGAAGAAAAAAGAGAAACTTGGCTTAGTTACTGAAAAGGTGATATCTCTGTTGTTATCAATTTACCCCTTTTTCCAATTGTTTTGTGACATGGTCTAAACCCTCAATACATAAAAATAAGTAGGGTTTAGCAGCCATTTTGAGCTGTTTTATAACTACATCCCATTCGAAAAACTCAGCAATTGCCATGACAGTAAGGTGCTGCACCTGGGTATATAGGATATAGTATATAGTATCTTATCTTGCCAGTCTTACGAAATACGTTCTTACTGGTTTTGTTATTAATACCTACTATTAGATATTGTTATTGGAGCTGTAGTTGAAATTTGTGTCAACGATGGTGATGACGATAGCGATGGCGATGACATTAGAGATGGCGATGGCGGTGCTAATGCCGATGCCAATGGCGATGCTTAATATGGATGAAGATGGAAATCTTCGATTAGTGTGAGATGCTAATTGAGTTCTTTGACTATTTTACGGCTTCCCTCTCAGCACGTGTTTGTAAATTTTTTAAAAAAATATTGGGTAGCAAATTACAGGAAACGCAAACGGCGAAAAGGTTCGAAAATTCAAGCTTGTCATCATAGCACAATTTACAAACTTGGATGAAACGGATATTTTATGATAAGTGGACGCTATTGTACCTTCGTTACAAAGTGCGTAACCCGAAGTGTGCTATACCAACAGGCACTATTGGAATACACTACAAATACCTTGAACATCCCCATTGTTAAAACTAATGTCAGAGGAAAAGAGCAACAAGCAAAGGCTTTTGTTGATTGATGCAGTAGTTGGATAGGTGGTTTACCACTTAGCTATCGGTTTGATCGGGATACTCGCCGGTGTTAATTTCTGTGTACATTTGTTTGCACCTTACACTATTCAGTCCGCGATAACATTAAGCACTTGCAAAGTTTCGATTACAATGAGCATGAGGGATATGAAGGACGAATAAAAGTCGCTTTAAGCTCTCTTGGACTTAATCCTATAGCTTGTTTACTCAATGGGAAAATGCTAGATAGGCAATAACCAATCAAGTTACCCTCTTTGAAATACTATGATCATTTTCTCTTGTTCAACGTATCTTAACTCATTCGAGATCGCAATATATCCTTGGTTAGGGTCTAATGGAGATACGACAGAGTTTCGTTTTGCTTTTCATGGCATAATAACGTGGAATTATATTTTTGAGGCAGCCAACTGTAGACGAATAATGTTGATTTTCTCTTTGTCAGAGGAACGGTAGTGAGGGTAATCTCTTTCTCGACAGTCATTTGGTCTCGTCACGCAACGCGCACTCTCTCTAACTGGGAATAAAGGGCGTTGTGTAAGGAGAGCAAACAACAGCTGCGGAGAAGTCAAAGGTTAGTATGGCACCATTGCATTTTATTTGCACTCAGATGTTTTTAGACAGAAGAGACAGTATTTTATGAAAACGTTCATTGAGATATGTCTGAAATATATTTTCATTTATGCAAATGTAAGTGTAAACTTGATCCTGACTGTAAAGGGGTTTATATAAATTCTGCAGTGAGTATCACCAACGTTAGAAAATAATGTACGTCTTTAGTACACTCAAACGATTCTGGTGCCGCTTAGTTTACTCAAAATAATACTAGAAAAACAACAACAACAACAACAACAAAAAGGACGACTTACCCTTGGAAATTTCACAAATATAAGCGTCATAGTTTTTCCAAATTGTTCTTCCACTACCAAACACGCCCCGTTCGCCATTCCTGGACCGCTTGTAGATGAAAGCCGCGTCGTGTTCACCACTCGGCTCCCCTTGTCCCCATTTGCAAATAGTCAGCGGTCTTCCATGCACCCAGGTCCAATTCCCACCTTTTTTTTCTTTTGTTAAGCCAATACTCCATTTATTTTCAAAGGATTTAGTATTTCGCCTTTGAATTGCATCATTCATGAAGTTCCATTCCTCTTCGGTTTCCATGGAAACTAAGTCCCCTCCTTGGCTTTGGCAGGTTTCTCTGTTCCGGGGCCAGGACCATCCATCCATCCACCGAAATTATATACCAAGAGTTTTTAAAGGTTCTATCAGGGCATTCTACAGAATGATAAAAAAGAAAACAAAAATACTAATTATCATAATGATGATAAACAAAGTGATACTTATAATAATGATTGTAACATAAAAAGACAAATCACAATCACAATAAAGAAGAAAAATAAATTAGATAGAAAACGTGACTTATTTTTTTTATTTGATCCCTTTTTTAACATCTGCAGTTTATGTTTGATCATTGTCAATTAATACAATATATCTTTCTTCACTACAGCATCCGCTATATCTGACCTGCTTTTCAGAATTAGTTCACATCAACTAAGATTATCTGTGAGCTCATGTAAATTTGGTGGTTGAGTTTTGAAAGTTAATTAGCTCCTCCCTCACTCCGCCCCCAATTCTTCCTTCCCCAGCTGAACAGACATAAAAACGTAAAATTAAACGTTAATCTAGGTTCTCATAGATTTGCAACTGGAGATTAGCCCTATACAGTTGATATGGGAAAGGCTATCGGGAAAAAAGAGCAAAAATTTAAGGTGCACGCCACAATCTTAAAGGATTATATGGGTAACGGTAATCATTATGGACATAAAAAGTAAAGATAAATTAAATAGAGTCAGCTCGTCCTTTTTTTTCGTATTTCATGCTGTGTATAATTTAAGATCAGTATTGTTAATAAAATAGGTTCATCAAAACCGAGATGCTTCGCCCCTAAAGCGATAGTTTCCTAGAGTCTCCTGATATCCTCAATCTATTTTCATTCAATGCATCTGTTATTAGTTATCGTGATGAAATTGCAGGGAAAAAGTGCGTGGGGTGGTCTTCATTTACCGCTTTATTAGTAGCCAACAGCCATTTTGTGTTTTCGACGCTGCTTTTAATCTTTCTGTTTTTCATTTGAACATTGTTGTCTAATTCAAGATTTCTTACTCACTGCACAATACGCACAATCATTGTTCCTTTCATTGCGCTGGTATTGCCCGAAGAGAACCTAAGCATTGTCATACGCAAAGCCCGCTGTCATCGTTTGAGGGTTGACCTTGGTTTGACTTCGAGTTGCTTCATACTAAAGCTAAACTCTGGTTTGATGGGCAACTTGGCTCAAGCACAGGTTTCAATTTATCTTGTCACAAGTCAGGAAATGGTCAGGAAAAATGGTCCTTCAAGATCAGGGAAAAGTCAGAAAATTTATGTTTTTTCAGAGAAGTTAGGAAAAATATTCTTCAACAATTCAAGTATTTAAGTAGGTTTTTATAGACATCAAATGTAAATAAATTGGTTCTCATAAAAAAGGAATGTATGCAATCTGGTTTTAGTGGCATACACTGTGGCATGTCCACTAAATGGCTCTTCCTTCATCTATCAAATGTCAGATTGAATTGTAATTTAGAAAAGCAGACAGCAAATGTGCCGGATTGTTTAAAGATTGTTTCATGAAAATTAAGAGACGCAGATGTTTGTCACTGAAGTCATACTAATAAATAGTTGGTTGGAAATAATGGCTATGAGCCAATATGGAAAATTGTAAAATTTTCACGGAATTTTTACATTTGTCGGGGAATTTCATAAACCTATGGCTGTAACAATCATGTTGTACACGTACTTCTGTATCAAAGTTAACTGAAAATATATTATTTAAAACAATTTGTAATAATACAATATCATAAATATTTCATTCTATTGGATTGTCCAGATTTTTATTGTTGTTTTTTTTTTTAATATTTCCTAAATGCCTTTTTACACATATCTCAGAGTAACCAGATACCTTTGTGCTGAAGCAAAACAAACGAGATTTGTCACTTGAACACTTCGTGGAAGTGTAAGAGCCAAGACCTAAAGTTCAAACTACACCTTTGTATAATTGGACAAGATGGAGCTCAGGGGGAGGACATGAAGAATGCTACTTCATTACAGAATCTCTAGAAAGTAGAGAAGTAAAATTCCACTTGTTTCTAATGAAAATGTCAGGACTGTGCTTCAAATTAAGATGAGTGTTTTTTTTAGGAAATGTCCTCTTTACTAAAATGCAATTTTTCTTTGTCTTCGATTAAGTGTGTGAATGGACTTAAACAGGATATGGACACTGAACAGGAAATTTCTACGATCATGAAGTTTATGTTCATTCACTTTACATTTCCTTCTGCATATCGGTCATCATTTCTGTGTTGTTATTTTTGCATGCTCTGACCATGGTTGATTGGGTGTTAACAATGTACTTCATTTCATTTCAGTCATGGGTTTAAGCTTTAGTTTCCGCGTACTTCAAAAGCAAGAAATAATCTGACCATGTTCAATGTGTCCTCACTTTCACTTTATCTGTTTATTAAATAAATAAAATGCGCGCCGAGTGCATTGTTGAGTTATATAAGCACCCGGGAATTTTTAAGAACACGAGAGTGCGGAGAAGCTCGAGCCGAAGGAGAGTGCATTTTGCGCTTCTCTGGTGTTCTTTAAAATTCCCAAGTGCTTATATAACTCAACAATGCTCAAGGAACAAGTTTTTTTTTTTTAAATTTCTTTTATAAAATGTATCGTGAATTGAGCGTACTCGTACCGATGACGTAGGTGGCTTGCACTATATCTCGACAATGCCCTCGTGTGACGTAAGGCACGTACTTAATGGGAATATAATGAACTAATTCTGACCGATCACGGCGCGCGCATTTCTCTTATAATAAATAATAACGTATGTTCCTGGATGGCCTTGATTGAAATAGTTTTATGCGATTATTCTCGTGTTCTGAATAAGACGATTTTCAACGTTGCAAAATGTGCTATCAAACTATTTTTTTGGTAGTGTTCTCCTCACATTAATCAACGGGAGTTTTTTTCTTCTTTTTCACATGTTTTGACCGAAATAAACTAAGTTTATTTTATTTTGCCCTTAACTGAAGTTCTTTCATCGAAAAAAAGTCTTGCTTATGGTCTCCTCCACAAAACATCTTGCACTCGGGCTAAGACATTTTGCAACTTTAGAATTTTTTCTGTCCCTGTTGCTGTTCATTGATGACAATAAGTTGTGGTATGACCAAGCAGGTTTGCAAACGCAGAAGACATATTGTATTTTTCGCTCAAATCAGTAATGGAAGAAGAAGGAGTAGATGCGGCCGTGGAGAGACGTTAAGTGCGCAGCAGTATGGATTTTCCAACTTCTTTACATGTTTCTAGAACTATTCAAAGCAACCCTCCCATCTACACGGTTTCGCGTTAGAAATACGCTACGATTGCATCTTCATTTTCGCCTATTCACTAGCGAAGTAACAGTATCAGTGAAAACATTTTTTCTTTCGCACAGATATATGGCTGGGGACTTCGCTCTCCGCCAAGAAAGCGAAATAATACGAATGGAAATTATTGAGACTGCGAAAAGAGAAGATGAAGAAGCCTTTCCATTTGTTCAATAACAAGTTCCAATCGTAAACAATTATAATAGTAAACTCAGTTTAGTTCGGCCTTCGGACGTCATGTTAAATATGTTATTGTTGCCTCAGTAACATGTCACGTGAGCGTGAACCTGACCAGCGATTGGTAAATGTTTGGTTTTGCTCTAGGTTATCAAATTTGACAACTATCCCGAACTGCTTATCGGTTCTTAAAGTGGTCCGTTTTTTCCTGTCTCAAGAAGACCCAAGAAGACAGTTACGCTTGCGCGAGTCGCCAACTACATCCCTAACTTCGTTGCCAGTTTTCATAAATTTAATTCGTTTTTGCCAGCTGGACAGTATTTTAAAGTAAATCATTTTAAAGCAAATCAAGTCGATGGATAACTTACTAATCCTCTCTTTCTCTTTTTCAATTCACTTTGGTTGCCAGCAAAAAAGAAATTGTTTCGAAATACATTTTTGAAGAAAATATATCATTAAATAAGTTGACACGTGGCCTAAAGACCGTTTGTAATTAAACTAGACCTACACTAGAAGTTACTCAGAAAGTTAAATCGTGAGGTATATGTTTACAATTGAATTAATTAATGGAACTTTCATTCATTTTATACGTGAGTTCTTTCAAACAATTTGTTCATCATAAAACGGATAGAAAAGTCTTCAGCAAACGGTTTGAACCCGGGAGTAACATGAGTAACCCGGGAGTAACACGTCTGGGTCTGGCCTGAGAAGGACTGTTCTCACTGACGTTTCGTCAATCCGAGCAGAAGTCATGATCAGAGTCAAGTGAATAGTTGTTGTCAGTCGAATTTTCCAAGTCCGGTTTGTATAAGCAAATGATAATTTTGTTTCTTTTTTTTTTTCATGGGCACTTTGTCTAATTACTAATACGTGTTTAAAAGTTCATTAATCTCTCACAAGTTCGGTGAACTGAGCATATTCTGTGTATAATATAATTACTTTTAAGAAGCATGAGTGATTTTCATGACATAAGTGCAAGACTTTAATTTTTCAGTACGTAAGATACTTTATGGTTGGAATGTGATCTTACCTCCAGGTATCTCGCAAATGAAGGCATTGTTATCATCCGAAGAGATGCCATTAAAGAGGCCTCCATTCTTGGATATTTACGCCCGTGTGTCGTTACCATCTGGCTCAGAATCTCGCCATTTCGAAATATTTAGTTGTTCTTCATTCTTCCAAGTCCAAACCCCGCCTCTTTTCCATAAACCAATGTGCCACGCACTAGCATTCCAAGCACCACGCTTTTGAATCTCATGATTGATAAACTGCCACTCTTCTTCAGTTTCGATGGAAACTAACTAACTCCCTGGTCGGAGCAGACAAACTTGTTGAAAGACCATTTTATTCCGCTTTTCGAAAATATGTAAGAGGAGCTTTTGAAACAGGCTGCTTGGCACTCTATGAGAAAAAAAAAAATGAATAAATGAACGAAAAAAAATTATGCTGATGATAACAATAGTGATGATGGTAATGATGAAGATAAGAGAGTATTTTTTAAAATATCAATTTTTATAACAAACAATGGGCGTCAAAACCCTCTACCACACTGAAACAAAAAAAAATTGGGCTAGGTTTTAAAAGTGAAAA